CACTACTCCACGACATTTAAGCAACCCCGTTTTTTAAAATTATCTAGTATTTATACATTTTAAGTGGAAAAAAAGGGGGGATCCACTTTTATGGGGATTTCTGCTTTACGGGGTAGCCCGGAACCCAACCTGCCACATAAGTGGGGCCCTACTGTATATGTCCTGAACTGTACATAGTGTCTTTATCCACAGCTTGTTGGTATCACCATACCATTTACAACCATAAAAAAATAGGATATTGGCTTTAGCAACCCATATAGTTCTAATGTGGGCTGGTAGACTACTTGCAATACACTTAAATTTTGATGCACCTGACTCTTATACCAAAGTTTTGTACCCTGGATGACTATTTAAGCTGTCTGTATCTTACATGTCATGTGTAGTACAGTGGAACCCCGGATTTCATCCGGTGCGGATATCGTACAATTCGGATTTCGACCACTTTTTTGGGCAAAATTTTACCCTGAGTTTCGTACATCCACTCGGAAATCGTCCATACCAGATGTGTCCGCCTGCTGCGGTACGCGGCCACTCATGGAAGTCACTCTGTCTGACTTTTCTGGGTTATCCTAGGTTCTCTACACATATGCTGCTATGTACGATAATCTATGTAACTTTATTTGTGTACACCTGAATAAATTTATATGTTCGTGACTCAGTCTGCCTTTGTTACTCGTTCACTAAGAGTGTCTCTCTAGTCTTAACGCATAGTAATAATACTAATACTTAATAATATTCACACCTGGGCACATTAACCCTTTGACTGTCGCGGCCGTATATATACGTTTGCGAGGTACCGTGTTTGACGTATATATACTCATAAATTCTAGCGGCTTCAAATCAGGCAGGAGAAAGCTAGTAGGCCCACATGTGAGAGAATGGGTCTGTGTGGTCAGTGTGCACCACATAAAAAAAATCCTGGAGCACGCAGTGCATAATGAGAAAAAAAAAACTCCGACCGTTTTTTTTTAATTAAAATGCCGACTTTGTGGTCTATTTTCGTATAGTATTTGTGGTTGTATTCTCGTTTTCTTGGTCTCATTTGATAGAATGGAAACTATATTATAGAAATGGAGGTGATTTTGATTAATTTTACTATAAAAAGAACCTGGAAATGGAGCACAAAGTACAGGAAATGTTTGATTTTTGCCGATGTTCAAAAGTAAACAAATGATGTCATTGTCCAATAAATATCCAAATAGCCATTCTAATACGCAGTCATGAATGGGTTGATGTAATTTTTACAATTATTACAGTATTGCAGTAGTCTGCATAACAGTAAATCTTCTATTTTTTGTTTGAATAAAATTTCAAAATAAAAAGCAAGAGTAATATCACAGGGACCTGGAGACATGACTGATGAACAAAGAAAATGTTATTTTAGAGCCAGGAATGTCTGCATTGTTCATTCTGGACCTTATTTTGAAATTGTCGTATTTTTTAATTTTCGTGAAATTGGCCAAATTGCAAATTTCTGACCATGTTATTGGGTAGTTGAAATCGGTAAATGGGGCAGTTTCTTGTACTCAATCGATAGAAAAAATAAGAGTTCTGAAGAAATAGTTATGAGTTTGGTTGACTGGAATAACGGAATTAGCCGAAAATAGGGCTCAAAGTGGGCGAAATTGCCGATTTTTAAATATCGCCGAAGTCGCTAACTTCGCGAGAGCGTAATTCCGTCAGTTTTCCATCAAATTTCGTTTTTTTGGTGTCTTTACAATCGGGAAAAGATTCTCTATCATTTCATAAGAAAAATAATTTTTTTTTTTTTTTTTTAAATTTTGCGACACCAGGAGACACCTCAGGATTTGGGGTTGCGACAGCCAAAGGGTTAAATGTCTCATTTTACGTTAATATAGACATTTTCATTAATCCATCTTTGATATTTTCTTCAAAATTATATAAACATGTTGCATAGCATATAAATGTGCAATGTTTATATGCTATGGATGGGTGGTAGCCGGGCAAAGGGAAAACATTACATTTTCTCTGGTCCAGCACCAGAGAAAACGTGTATGAATCTGCATTGGCCCAGTCACCCCCCTTAATACATAACACTTTTATTTACAATTCTTGGCATGAATTATTCATTACTTCTCCCTTTGTTTATGATGGCATCTAAAGGTAGTTGTAAAAAACGATTAAACTCGGTGAACATGGTATGTCGATGGTAATAATATGGCTCTGGGCCGCATTAAATATTGTGTAGCTATGAAGGTAGGTGTAGGAATGTAGCCCAGGCGGACTACATACCTACATCTACCAGCTACCTACGCTACCTACTACTCACCTTTCGCCTTGTACTGTGTATGTATTTTACTTTTTATTGTGTTTTTTAATGCCTAGTTCTATTACTAACTTAATATAAGTTAGTGTAAACTTGACAGCTCTGTCTGTTGTGGAATCTATTGTGGCTTTGGGGAAGTTCATGGGGTTCGATGTGAGTGGCCAACAAAAGTCTTCAATAAAGGTATGTAACAGTGATTTAAATGTTCATTTATCCATTAAAATATAGATAGTAGGTTGGTAGACAGCAACCACCCAGGGGGGTACTACCGTCCTGCCAAGTGAGTGTGAAACGAAAGCCTGTAATTGTTTTACATGATGGTATGATTGCTGGTGTCTTTTGTCTGTCTCATAAATATGCAAGATTTCAGGTACATCTTGCTACTTCTACTTAGGTCACACTACACATACATGTACAAGCATATATATATACACACACCTCTCTAGGTTTTCTGCTATTTTCTTTCCAGTTCTGTTCTTGTTTATTTCCTCTTATCTCCATGGGAAAGTGGAACAGAATTCTTCCTCTGTAAGCCATGCGTGTTGTAAGAGGCGACTAAAATGCTGGGAGCAAGGGGCTAGTAACCCCTTCTCCTGTATAAATTACTAAATTTAAAAAGAGAAACTTTTGTTTTTCTTTTTGAGCCACCCTGCCTTGGTGGGATACAGCCGGTTTGTTGAAAAAGAAAAAAAAATTATCCATTAAAATTAGTCATCAATATTTCTCATTTTCTGTATGTAAAACTATAGTTATTCTCTATAAAATGTATTTTTTTGTTAATATTTGTGGGTGTCTGGAATGGATTAATTGGATTTACATTATTTCTTATAGGAAATATTACTTTGGCTTTCATCCATTTCAGATTTTGACCAACCTTCTGGAACGGATTAAGGACGAAAGCCAGAGTTCCACTGTACAATGGAACCTCGGCTTACAAATTTAATCTGTTCCATGACCTTGTTCGCATGCTGAGTCAATTTTCCTCATTAAAATTTACTGAAATGCTATTAATCCATTCCAGCCTCTCAGGAGGCATGACAAAATAATGCTAATATCAACTCTGCGGTTTAGTTATCTATCACAATTCATCTAATATGACATAAACAATATTAATAACATAGAAACATGATATATATTCTAGAATGAATAAAATAGGCCATAATATGGCAAGTGATGGCGACCCTGGCAGCGGCAGAAAGCATCCGCCATTTACTCTCCCACTCTAGTATCTTTCCGGTCCATAACCCCACACCTAGCTTGCGTTTACCTATGATTAGTGGTGAGGTTGTCACATATGTAACCACAGGTGTGGTCAAGACATGATCACAGTGGTGGTGGTGGCCAGCTGCCTCACTCTATGCTGCTGCCTTCTTCATTTCTCTAGCTTTTTTCATAGTTTCTAATCACTTCCTGAGCTTCTTGCTGATTGTACGCAAATACTGTCTCTTTGGGTGAGGCATTGTGTAAGAAATTTGTACAATTTGGAAAAAAATTAAGAGAAATGTCTAAAAATGACAGCATATTATTATTATTATTACTATTACATATATTGTATTATTCTTATTATTAGTAGTAGTACGTATGTATTATTATAATTATTATTAATACATATGTATTATTATATTATTAATTTAGGGAACTGCAGCACAGATCCAATTCCCTAGATCAAGAGCCCATCACCACATATATACAGCACTAATAATAATAATAACAATAATAAAAATAATAATAATACAATATAATAACAGTAAGGAGAAACTTCAAAAGGCTGCCCGTAGTTGGTGCCACCATCAGCAAAACATTGGTAACCATTACTAGTACACTTTTCACCTGTCCAGACTAGTAGTCTATAAGTATGTACATGTATTAGGTTAAGTCTGCCCGAAATGCCTCGGCATGATAGTGGCTTTCTTTGCTCCAAACCATACTACGGGCGTGTCATTACGATTTTGTGAGTCATGTTTCTTTGCTCCAATTATATTATGATAGGTAAACACACATTGTAACCTTTGCAAAGAAATAAATATTTTATTTATTTATTTAAGGAACCTCCCTTGAGGGGAAAGTTCACATCTTGAAATTTCCTTCGTATCCAGAAGCAAAAAAAATCAACCAAACGATGGTTTGCATCTTGAAAAATTCGCATGGTGGGGGCGTTCATAAGCCGAGGTTCCACTGTACTTGATAATTCATCATCCAGTCAGTTCTCTGAACCATTTATCTACAGTACTTGATAAAGCCCACCCATGGGTGAAACCAGAAGCAGACTGGGTCTTAAAACTGGCCTGGTAATCTGTTACCCATCAGGTCAGCTCGACCACAGCCAGTGTGACACTTATTAACAGACTGCTAAGGGCCAGGGGTGTGTTTCACCACTCAGCTAAGGCACATTCCAAGAAAATACTTTCATCATCATTCAACACTTTCACCTCACTCACACAATCACTGTAAAAAATTTTTTTTTTTATGCTAAAGTCCAGGGTTTATTCCCTGGACCTCAGCAGTGAGAGTCGCTCCTCTCATCGCTGGGCAACGGCGACAATTATCTTTAAAAAAAAAAAAAAAGTGTTTTGAAAGACATGAATAACCACATTCATATGTTATTGGTTTTCTATCAATTATGAGGGTTGACTGTAATAGGTTACCCATTGGTCTATTTACAGCCAGATAGTCTGTTTCTTTAACACTATAATAAGAGTTAAAAATTGCTAACCTGAGATATGACAGCAATAGGGGTCAGCCCTAAAGAGGATGCTACCCGATGCTCTACCAAGTAGAACATATATTCATCATAGAGTAGTCTAATAAGATGGAATGATCCAAAAGAAGCTGCACTGCGTAGTGTGAGATCCCGAATCACCATCGAACTGGAAGAAGGAAAAAAAAGTCAATTATTATCAATATGACTTTAATACTGTGTCAAAATTTAAATGCATGTGAGCGAGATTTTTTAGAAAAAGGGATTAAAGTCATAAGGTAAATAATCACTATTATTTTAATTGTAACATATGTTGTGACACTCCATGGGAAAACAGAAAAGAATTCTTCCACCGTAAGCCATTTGTGTCGTAAGAGGCGACTAAAATGCCAGGAGCAAAGGGCTAGTAACTCCTGAATAAATTACTAAATGTCAAAAGAAAAACTTTTCTTCTTTTTCGGGTCACCCTGCCTCAATGGGAGACGGCTGATGTGTTAAGAAAAACTTTCATCATCATTCAGTACTTTCACCATCACTCATGCATAATCACTGTCTTAGCGAGACGCTCACAGGAAAAAGCGATAAAGCCATAGAAGTTACATAATGCCTTGGGAATGGGAGGTAATCAAATTCGATCCAAGGAAATGGAGGCCAAGAGCTCCTCAACAGTGTCAAGGAACTACCCAGGCTAGTGTAACAATAGAGTTTCAAAGATTTTATTAATATGGTCTTCCAGTGACAATTTGCCTTGATGACTGACTCTTTAGTTCTTATTTTTGATGATTATAAAATTTATCACACAATATTCTTCATGTGGCCTGATTTTGCTTTTTCCCAATTCTATTACATATCATTTATCTGTCACTCCATCTGCTTAACCTATTTAGGTCTTCCTGCAGGAATTCACATTTTTTTTTTCTTGTGCAAGAGTACATGGACTCGTGCAAGAATATACTAACCTGTAAAAGGACCACTTCAAAAGAAACTGCCGAGCTTGCTTTGGGAAATCCACTTTTCCTTCGTGAGGTCGAAGCACTTGTGAAACAACAGCTTGTAACCACTCTGCCCATTGTTCAAGACTATTTTGCTGTTGCAGCGTTGATTTAAAATCTTCTTCTAGTCGATCCACTAACCCAACATCACACTGACATACCCAAGATGCCTAGAAGTGTACAAAAAAAAAAAAGTGATTATTATGGGTACCATGAGTTTGCAAAAAATAAATAAATTAAATAAAGGCTATGGGAGTAGAAAACCCCTCAGAATTCATCAAAGGGGAAAGGCAAAACAGGTAAGGGTTGCATAATGCCTGATGGATTTTAATCGTTTCGGTCGAAGGAAGCAAAGGGTGCTCACTGGTTCAAAAGCCCTTTACCAGCAAAAAAAGGACAACATAAAATCTTATTACCTGGTTACCCATTTTCTATATCTACAACACGATGGTGTACAATGGGCATTTTTCCAAAATGTTTTGCTCATAATAATATAATAAATAATACTGAATGTATTTTCTTCTTTGGGTCACCCTGTCTTGGAGGAAGATGACCGAGTTAAAAAAAAAAAAGGCAGTCGGTAATGGTGGTAAATAAACAGTTAAATGTAAACAAACAAAAAATATTGTAAATAAAGTGTAAAGGTAGAAAGTTGAAAGTGAACATAGAAAAGAGTAAGGTGATGAGGGTATCAAATGATTTAGATAAAGAAAAATTGGATATCAAATTGGGGAGGAGTATGGAAGAAGTGAATGTTTTCAGATACTTGGGAGTTGACGTGTCGGCGGATGGATTTATGAAGGATGAGGTTAATCATAGAATTGATGAGGGAAAAAAGGTGAGTGGTGCGTTGAGGTTTATGTGGAGTCAAAAAACGTTATCTATGGAGGCAAAGAAGGGAATGTATGAAAGTATAGTAGTACCAACACTCTTATATGGATGTGAAGCTTGGGTGGTAAATGCAGCAGCGAGGAGACGGTTGGAGGCAGTGGAGATGTCCTGTCTAAGGGCAATGTGTGGTGTAAATATTATGCAGAAAATTCGGAGTGTGGAAATTAGGAAAAGGTGTGGAGTTAATAAAAGCATTAGTCAGAGGGCAGAAGAGGGGTTGTTGAGGTGGTTTGGTCATTTAGAGAGAATGGATCAAAGTAGAATGACATGGAAAGCATATAAATCTATAGGGGAAGGAAGGAGGGGTAGGGGTCGTCCTCGAAAGGGTTGGAAAGAGGGGGTAAAGGAGGTTTTGTGGGCTAGGGGCTTGGACTTCCAGCAAGCGTGCATGAGCGTGTTAGATAGGAGTGAATGGAGGCGAATGATACTTGGGACCTGACGATCTGTTGGAGTGTGAGCAGGGTAATATTTAGTGAAGGGATTCAGGGAAACCGGTTATGTTCATATAGTCGGACTTGAGTCCTGGAAATGGGAAGTACAATGCCTGCACTTTAAAGGAGGGGTTTGGGATATTGGCAGTTTGGAGGGATATGTTGTGTACCTTTATATGTATATGCTTCAAAGCTGTTGTATTCTGAGCACCTCTGCAAAAGCAGTGATAATGTGTGAGTGTGGTGAAAGTGTTGAAGAAAGTATTTTCTTTTTGGGGATTTTCTTTCTTTTTTGGGTCACCCTGCCTCGGTGGGAGACGGCCGACTTGTTGGAAAAAAAAAAAGAAAAAGTGGACAATGGAACCACTAAAAAAGAAAAATTTTTTAAGATCAATGAAAATCAGATGTTTGGAAAGATTTAGTATTTACTCACTTGTTCTTGGACATTGTGAAAATCCACTCGATTGAGATCAGCCAACATCTGAGAAATCTGCGAGGAATTTTGGAGTACAGCCCTAGCAGCCTGAGCTAAGTGATTTAATGAAGTATAACGTCTTAAAGTCTGAGCCAGAGATGCCACAGCTGTTACCTGAAGCACAACATATACCTCATTGGGCATTAAAAATAAATAATAGGTTTAGAAATTCCGAAAGATATACAGAAACAAATATACGTACTATGTACTGAATATCCGAATGTATGGATCTCATTAATGACTTAAGAATTCCACACATTTTAATATATATACATATTGTTCAATACTGGTACTTTAACAGAGTTCACTTTAAGTCTTATCAAAAAGACATACAATTTTTTAATCATTCCCCACCAATACTTTAAAAAAACAAATATTATCAATAAAACTCATAACAAATGTAGTTAATGCATTAGATTAGCTAAACTAGTTTTCTCCACAAAGCCACCAAGTTACTTAATAACCATACCAATAATGCACTAGAGTAATGTATTTTGAAACATGTATGGGACATTCTCTCATTATAATGCACAGTATCACATTTGGTGATTTCCTATATATGTACTTTATTCATTAAAGGAATTTTTTGTTTGTTATGCAAGCTTCCTGTATTTGTTCTGAGACTCAAAACAATAAGTGACAGGCTTTTAGAAGGGCCATGTGCTATTCCTGATATTGCTTCTCTGGTGCCTAAACCCACTGGTTCACTTTTGATGCCCCTTCATTTCTTGCCTGTTGCCTAAGCCTCTATGGTAGTCTCTCCACAATTATTCACTGGGGCTATGCCTCTGCCCTGATGAGAGAGGTGCTTACACCAACACTCCTTGCTGACGGGATTTCTTCATCTCTCAGATTCCAGCATAGATATGGAGTCCATGTGTAAACATGTCTTTTTTTTTTTTTTTTTTGACACTTTGTTTAGACAACTTGTTAAATAAAAGCTATTGTGAAATCTCAGTTTGCCTTATATGTAGCATGATTCCATGAGCAAATTATTAAAAAAGTCAACTTACCTTAATATTGACTACTTCAGATGGGCAACCAAGCATTGCACTAGATAACCATGATTCCAGACTCTTAGCAAAATTTCTGATGGCCTGAGTGAGGCTAGAGGGGATAGATCGTAACACATCAGGAATTAACACTTCGACAAGATTCTGGTAGAACTGGTAATCAAAGTTACGCACAAACTCTAATACCGGTGGAGCACGTAACAAGGCCTGAAACAGGAAAACTTTGGTTAAGATTTCAAGGAGTGTGAAGCATTATCCCAATGATGACAACTAAATCTATAATACATTTTATCTATGTAAAGTATATACTAATAAAGATCTACAATTATTATTAATTAAAGCCTAAGGTATTGATAAATACAACAAAAGAATTTAGGTTCTTTTTTTCTTTCTCTCTGGGTCAACCTGCCTCAGTGGGAAACAGCCAAGAAGTTAAAATAAATATAGTACATGTAAAGTTTAGACACCCCAGAAATTCAGTATGATTAATAATGAAGAATTTTAACATATATATTATCATTATTACATTCAATGGAGACTGATAGTGTACAGCCAACTGAATGGTTGAAATAAAATAATGAAGGCAGAGCAAAACTTTTAGGGCGACAACTTTTGCCTGTCCAACAGACTTTTTCACGTCAATACAAAATTATAAACAAGTATATTTATACTAGCATGAGTTCGGGTTTGAGCAGTTGGGAAGTTTGGGAGGTGAGGAATGAGATTATGACATGGGTGGTCAGCAGTGGGAAATTGGTTAGACCAGGGAGCATTGTGTACTACATCTTGTGTGCATGTAGGACCATTTGCAATCATTTCTATTTTTGTAGCATAAGAGCTAACAGTATAGCTATGCTGCAAGCTCTCTGGTTCTGCTCAATGGTATTTTGTGTACAGAGCAGTTTCCAGGTATTTTCAAATTTCTAACAGATCACAAAGAGTGGTATAAGAACATAAGAAAGAAGGAACGCTGCAACAGGCCTACTGACCCATGCAAAGCAGGTCCATGTTTCCCCCTCTTCCCCCAATTAGCCCAATGACCCACCTAGTCAGGTTACTTCCACTTAAGGAAGGAGCAAGGCATCAGACCTAGTAGCACAAGCTAATCAGGTCCAACTCACACCCACCCACACCCACTCATATATTTATCTAACCTACTTTTAAAACTACACAATGTTTTAGCCTCTATAACTGTACTCGGGAATTTGTTCCACTCATCCACAACTCTATTACCAAACCAGTGCTTTCCTATATCATTCCTGAATCTGAATTTTTCCAACTTGAAACCATTGCTGCGAGTCCTGTCTTGGCTGGAAATTTTCAGCGTACTATTTACATCCTACTTACACTTTGGTCACACTTCACAGACACGCACATGCATATATATATATACATACATCTAGGTTTTTCTCCTTTTTCTAAATAGCTCTTGTTCTTTTTTATTTCTTCTATTGTCCATGGGGAAGTGGAAAAGAATCTTTCCTCCGTAAGCCATGCGTGTCGTATGAGGCGACTAAAATGCCGGGAGCAATGGGCTAGTAACCCCTTCTCCTGTATACATTTACTAAAAAAGAGAAGAAGAAAAACTTTATAAAACTGGGATGCTTAAATGTGCGTGGATGTAGTGCGGATGACAAGAAACAGATGATTGCTGATGTTATGAATGAAAAGAAGTTGGATGTCCTGGCTCTAAGTGAAACAAAGCTGAAGGGGGTAGGAGAGTTTCAGTGGGGGGAAATAAATGGGATTAAATCTGGAGTATCTGAGAGAGTTAGAGCAAAGGAAGGGGTAGCAGTAATGTTAAATGATCAGTTATGGAAGGAGAAAAGAGAATATGAATGTGTAAATTCAAGAATTATGTGGATTAAAGTAAAGGTTGGATGCGAGAAGTGGGTCATAATAAGCGTGTATGCACCTGGAGAAGAGAGGAATGCAGAGGAGAGAGAGAGATTTTGGGAGATGTTTAAGTGAATGTATAGAAGCCTTTGAACCAAGTGAGAGAGTAATTGTGGTAGGGGACCTGAATGCTAAAGTAGGAGAAACTTTTAGAGAGGGTGTGGTAGGTAAGTTTGGGGTGCCAGGTGTAAATGATAATGGGAGCCCTTTGATTGAACTTTGTATAGAAAGGGGTTTAGTTATAGGTAATACATATTTTAAGAAAAAGAGGATAAATAAGTATACACGATATGATGTAGGGCGAAATGACAGTAGTTTGTTGGATTATGTATTGGTAGATAAAAGACTGTTGAGTAGACTTCAGGATGTACATGTTTATAGAGGGGCCACAGATATATCAGATCACTTTCTAGTTGTAGCTACACTGAGAGTAAAAGGTAGATGGGATACAAGGAGAATAGAAGCATCAGGGAAGAGAGAGGTGAAGGTTTATAAACTAAAAGAGGAGGCAGTTAGGGTAAGATATAAACAGCTATTGGAGGATAGATGGGCTAATGAGAGCATAGGCAATGGGGTCGAAGAGGTATGGGGTAGGTTTAAAAATGTAGTGTTAGAGTGTTCAGCAGAAGTTTGTGGTTACAGGAAAGTGGGTGCAGGAGGGAAGAGGAGCGATTGGTGGAATGATGATGTAAAGAGAGTAGTAAGGGAGAAAAAGTTAGCATATGAGAAGTTTTTACAAAGTAGAAGTGATGCAAGGAGGGAAGAGTATATGGAGAAAAAGAGAGAGGTTAAGAGAGTGGTGAAGCAATGTAAAAAGAGAGCAAATGAGAGAGTGGGTGAGATGTTATCAACAAATTTTGTTGAAAATAAGAAAAAGTTTTGGAGTGAGATTAACAAGTTAAGAAAGCCTAGATAACAAATGGATTTGTCAGTTAAAAATAGGAGAGGAGAGTTATTAAATGGAGAGTTAGAGGTATTGGGAAGATGGAGGGAATATTTTGAGGAATTGTTAAATGTTGATGAAGATAGGGAAGCTGTGATTTCGTGTATAGGGCAAGGAGGAATAACATCTTGTAGGAGTGAGGAAGAGCCAGTTGTGAGTGTGGGGGAAGTTCGTGAGGCAGTAAGTAAAATGAAAGGGGGTAAGGCAGCCGGGATTGATGGGATAAATATAGAAATGTTAAAAGCAGGTGGGGATATAGTTTTGGAGTGGTTGGTGCAATTATTTAATAAATGTATGGAAGAGGGTAAGGTACCTAGTGATTGGCAGAGAGCATGCATAGTTCCTTTGTATAAAGGCAAAGGGGATAAAAGAGAGTGCAAAAAATTATAGGGGATAAGTCTGTTGAGTGTACCTGGTAAAGTGTATGGTAGAGTTATAATTGAAAGAATTAAGAGTAAGACGGAGAATAGGATAGCAGATGAACAAGGAGGCTTTAGGAAAGGTAGGGGGTGTGTGGACCAGGTGTTTACAGTGAAACATATAAGTGAACAGTATTTAGATAAGGCTAAAGAGGTCTTTGTGGCATTTATGGATTTGGAAAAGGCGTATGACAGGGTGGATAGGGGGGCAATGTGGCAGATGTTGCAAGTGTATGGTGTAGGAGGTAGGTTACTGAAAGCAGTGAAGAGTTTTTACGAGGATAGTGAGGCTCAAGTTAGAGTATGTAGGAAAGAGGGAAATTATTTCCCAGTAAAAGTAGGCCTTAGACAAGGATGTGTGATGTCACCGTGGTTGTTTAATATATTTATAGATGGGGTTGTAAGAGAAGTAAATGCGAGGGTCTTGGCAAGAGGCGTGGAGTTAAAAGATAAAGAATCACACACAAAGTGGGAGTTGTCACAGCTGCTCTTGCTGATGACACTGTGCTTTTGGGAGATTCTGAAGAGAAGCTGCAGAGATTGGTGGATGAATTTGGTAGGGTGTGCAAAAGAAGAAAATTAAAGGTGAATACAGGAAAGAGTAAGGTTATGAGGATAACAAAAAGATTAGGTGATGAAAGATTGAATATCAGATTGGAGGGAGAGAGTATGGAGGAGGTGAACGTATTTCAGATATTTGGGAGTGGACGTGTCAGCGGATGGGTCTATGAAAGATGAGGTGAATCATAGAATTGATGAGGGAAAAAGAGTGAGTGGTGCACTTAGGAGTCTGTGGAGACAAAGAACTTTGTCCTTAGAGGCAAAGAGGGGAATGTATGAGAGTATAGTTTTACCAACGCTCTTATATGGGTGTGAAGCGTGGGTGATGAATGTTGCAGCGAGGAGAAGGCTGGAGGCAGTGGAGATGTCATGTCTGAGGGCAATGTGTGGTGTGAATATAATGCAGAGAATTCGTAGTTTGGAAGTTAGGAGGAGGTGCGGGATTACCAAAACTGTTGTCCAGAGGGCTGAGGAAGGGTTGTTGAGGTGGTTCGGACATGTAGAGAGAATGGAGCGAAACAGAATGACTTCAAGAGTGTATCAGTCTGTATTGGAAGGAAGGCGGGGTAGGGGTCGGCCTAGGAAGGGTTGGCGGGAGGGGGTAAAGGAGGTTTTGTGTGCGAGGGGCTTGGACTTCCAGCAGGCATGCGTGAGCGTGTTTGATAGGAGTGAATGGAGACAAATGGTTTTTAATACTTGACGTGCTGTTGGAGTGTGAGCAAAGTAACATTTATGAAGGGATTCAGGGAAACCGGCAGGCCGGACTTGAGTCCTGGAGATGGGAAGTACAGTGCCTGCACTCTGAAGGAGGGGTGTTAATGTTGCAGTTTAAAAACTGTAGTGTAAAGCACCCTTCTGGCAAGACAGTGATGGAGTGAATGATGGTGAAAGTTTTTCTTTTTCGGGCCACCCTGCCTTGGTGGGAATCGGCCAGTGTGATAATAATAATAATAATATTTACATCCCCTTTATTTATTCCTATTTTCCATTTATACACCTCACTCATATCCCCCTAATTCTATGCCTTTTGAGAGAGTGCAGATTCAGGGCCCTCAGTCTATCCTCATAGGGAAGATTTCTGATACATGGGATCAACTTTGTCATCCTCCTCTGTACGTTTTCCAGTGCATTTATATCCATTCTGTAATACGGTGACCAGAACTGTGCAGCATAATCTAAATGAGGCCTAACCAAGGATATATAGAGTTGAAGAACAACCTGAGGACTTCTATTACTTATACTTCTAGATATGAAGCCAAGGATTCTGTTAGCTTTATTGCAAACACTAATGCACTGTTGTCTTGGTTTTACATTACTGCTAACCAGAACTCCTAAATCCTTTTTTCAATCAGTAGTATTAAGATCTACATTATTTAGTTTATATGTGG